TGGGTGGAAAAATTCTTCTCCCTCTGTATCACGTGTTTGGACAGCCACCAGGCATTGGTTTTAGTGCATATATGTCTGCGCCCAAATGGGTGTAGAAAAACTATTGCAACAAGACCACTGTGAGTGCGGCTCGGTAATTAGAGCATCAAGGTTGCTACTCACCCAGAAGAAGCCTGGTACCATCTCCAGTCTACTCTAAAGACAGTGTTGAAGACGACAGATGACTCTCAGAAAGTGTTTCGAAAGAACCAGTGGACCTTGTCAGCTTCTTTATTAGTGGAATGCAAGCGAATGCATCCCTGCCTGCTCTGAGCATAGCAAAGAGCGGAAGCAACTCAGATGTAGACTGACAAAAATCAATTCAGTCCCTGTGAACACGGATGGATGGTGAAGGCTAAAGAGATGGAAAAGCCAATGGCAATAGGTAACAGTAAACAGTTATTTAGACTTATCAAGGAAACTGGGGTGAGGAGATCGATGGTTAGAGAGTCTATACCAGAGAAGGATGGTTCTGCTATTCACTTGCTAAAGTGACGGTTAGAGTGATGGGTGGAAAACTTTGAGAAACAGTTCAACCATTCTCCAGTTATTATTCTTTTGCTTGTTATTCAGTTGGATCGTGAATGGGATCCGCCGCACTTACAGAAGTCAGGAAAGCTGTAAGCAATCTGAATAGAGGAAGCCTTGTAGGATCAGAGGTATTCACGGATAGTGATAGAGGCTTAGTGGTCAGGCTAACTGAAATTTTAGCTAGTGGATGAGAGTCATATGTAATGATCCTCTCTGACCAGTGTCAAGCGCTGACTTTCACAGTCCTCAAGGAAAGAGAGGAATCCTCTTTCGATGACCATAGTGGAACCAGCCTAACGAACCTAGCTTTCATTATTATCGAAAGTGTAGGTGGAACTCAGAATTAACGAACCCGGGAAAACCAGGCAAGTTTCAAAACTGGTCGTGGGTTTATCGACTAGTAACTCGCCCTCTACTAGTTTCTCGAACACAGGCATACTTACCAAAGCCCGACACTAGCTGCATTTTTGAATCTGAAAGTGGTACTCAACCTCGTTGCTTGGTAGCTGTTACAGCAGTGTCTCTCACTGAAAGAGGTACTGAGTAAGTACATGAATGTGTTGAGGTCTCTGTACTTGAACACCCTTTGGGGTGTTAGGGGCTATGGTGAGTTGTGTATGTCAGGTGTGTCTTCTATGGATGTTTAGTTTCTCTATTTTTACTCAACTTCGGCAGGGATATACTTGTCATGGTCTGCCTTCGTCGTCTGACTTCACTGGGATTGATATAGTTCTTTTGGGTGAAGATGCTAGACACCCTGAGTGGCAATTTTAGAATTCTTGACATGCGTTCCTCACCATCGAGATGCAACTCTTTGCTCCAGGACTGGTCTTTACTAGTGCTTTGCTTAACAATATTAGGTGAAGTGCTTGAGTGCGCTGACCATTTCGCTTACTTGGGAAGTCGCAATAGGCTTGGCGGGGCCAATAATCGATGAAATCTGTACACGGGTGAAAAAGGTTCGCTTGCCTTTCTCAGCTTATGCCATTTATGTGGCCGGCATGATATCTTATTGCCTAATAAGGGTCAAGTGTAACGGGCTGCAATTCACTCTATCCCACTAAATGGTTGTGATACATGGCCATTAGAAGTAGGGGAAATGAGGATGCTTCAGGTGTCCAACCACCCTTGTCTTCACAGCATAGGCTGTATGTCACTATGTCCCCACGTTGGTAACAGTGAAGTTGAGCGTAGATTTTTTGGAACGAGAAGAAAGTCAGTTGATGAGATTGAGAACCTTCATCGATTTAGGTGGCTTTGACTTATGTTCCGCAGGCATAGTTGCCATCTACCTCGTCGTGTAATTTTAGTCAAAGTAAGTTGAGGGTTATGGAAGGTTAGAGGTGGGCAGCTGAATCACGGTATCAGCCTGCTGCTCCGAGCTGTGTGGAGAAATATGGACATCGAAGTTGACGTCCACAAGACAACAGAATCTGATGGTTGTAAACTCAATGTAATGCTGCTCAGAATCGATCTCGAAAGGCTCACATATATCCACATATAATCTTCATCTTAATAGTGATACTGAATTTCAGTTTTATCTCATTCCTTCTTGTTCTCGTTTTAAGAATTTAAGCTACTTTTGAATGCTTTCTTCCTTGTTTCTTTATCCTTCATCCTGGAACCGTAAACGAGCTCCACTGCTGAATTCTGACCACTGTATTGTACGTGTTTTGCCTAATGTGTACGGTAAGTTACTCAAGAAGACTTTTGGATATCTTTCCAAGAGAGTTCAGTGCAGACGCTATTCACAGGAGAATATGCTACTTTTGAAAAGCATGCTTAAAGAAACACTGGGATATATTTGTCAATGAAGTTTTAGGCAATACTATCACCAATATCAACCTCGCCTAGATAGCTAGTTGACTAGTTACTAGCCAGTCCTAAGCCCAGATAAAGAGGAAAGGTTGGACATAGGGCTGCCAACCCTACCCTATAAATCCAATCCAATCGCTAGACAAAATTTCAAAGCACAAAAAAATATATATAGAACAAAAATAAACTTATTCCTTGTTGGAGTCGGGGAGACAAAATGACACCAGTTGGTGAAAACCTTCGGGAAGCCAATTGGTCAATGTGTCTTCACTTCTCTCGATGAAAGCGAAAGTAAGGATGGGGACATAGAAAGTCCGCACCGTGTTGAAGCTAGCTGGCAAGGCTGCCCATATTGCAAAAGAGATAAAAAGGTACAGCAAAGAAGTGTTAGGAATCTGCGAAAGTAGATGGAATGGAAGTGCACTGTCCAAACTGTCAACTGAAGAGTCAATAGTCTACTCCGTTATTGTCACTCAAACGACAACCACGAGCACACCGAGTTTTCGAGTGGCTATCATGATGTCCTCGAGAGCATCGAAGGCTCTCATGCAGTGGGAACCAATCTCCTCCTGCAGGATCAGGATCATGACGGCAAGATTCAACTCAAAAGGAAGTAAAGTCACAACCATACAATGCTACGCTATACGCCTACAAATAATGCAGATCAAGAGAAGAAAGAGGAATTCTACAGCATAAAGAACGAGATCCGGATTTTCAACGCCAACGTCAACCCAGTGCTTCTATGTGATGGTTGAGAGACATGGCGCGTTACGAAAAATATTTCCAACAAACTACTTACATTCATCATCAACAGCTGACACCTACACTCACTCGATAGTGACACTGACACTGACAGTGAAGATGGAGATGAGATGAGATGGCCAGAATAATTGGAAGAATAAGCAACAAGTGTCTCTGGGAACGAACCAACGAAGCAACACCTACACACCTACCTACCACCCCACACCTACCTACTTACCTACACACCTACCTACCACCCCACACCTACCTACCTACACACCTACCTACCTACACACCTACTTACCTACCTACCTACCTACCTACACACCTACCTACACACCTACCTACCTACTTACCTACCTACCTACACACCTACCTACCACCCCACACCTACCTACCTACCTACCTACACACCTACCTACCACCCCACACCTACCTACCTACCTACCTACCTACCTACACACCTAACTACCTACTTACTTACTTACTTGTCTTTTAGCAAGATTTCGGAGCATAATGATTGGTTATGAAAGACTTCTAAAATTTCAGGATTCCTTGAAGAATTTTGACAATTTTATTTTGCTGTATACAACCCTCACCCCCACTGCTGAAAAACAGGTTGATGGGATGGAATCGGTTAAATACACCATTAACTTTTTTCCAGGGAGTATAAACTGTTTCTGTAGCATTTTCCCCTTGAATCCTCAATCTAACAACCCGGTGCATACGGAAGACACAAAAGTTCTATGTTCGTCTATGCTGAGTTTGGGTATTGTCGAAAATGCATAAATAATGTGCAAGGTAATTCAGTATTAGGTGGCTTTTAGTCTCAGTCACAATCTATATATTAATTACGTTGTCTGTTCTTAACCGTAATCCAATTTTAGTTTATTGATAGTCAAATGCTTTTGTGTTGTATTATGTCGCTGTTATTTTAATCTCCCAATTGCAATTATCTTCGAAGATTACACTTATGAGCGGTGTTGTAATGCTAACACTGCATATATATTACCGTATAATCTTTTGAAGGTGACCTGACCAACAGTGGACTGGATGGTTTGAAAAAACTTAGGCACCGAGTTAGTATGATTCATCGTATATGAATAAGCAAATCGGTCAGAAAGGCTTTTTTTCAGTTGTGCAAGTAAAGTGGAACAAAAATAGGGTAGGGTAAAATTTACTTCGTCTATGAAAAGTACAATGTGGTTGTGAGTCATCAAGAATGAGAAAGAATAAATCACCATATTTGAAAGATGAATATTTGAACACTAAACATTGATAATAGTGCTAACGATAACGGTACTTTTGATAACGCGTGAAGTATGAATGATAACAAAATGGATTATGCATTATATAGAATGGTTCATAGAAAGGAGAGTAAAACTGGTGAAAATCATAGATTAATAAAGTGCTATGCAATAGGACTAGACAAACTGCTAAAATGCAACCAATATTTTTTTGACGTGATTAAGACAATTAAGCAAAATAACACCGGAAACTATTCAAGCAAGAATAAATCTGGAATAAGTCATATGGAATGAAATTGTGTTCTACCTTCTCTTCATCTATTATTTACAACTGCCTATACAAGTCATTAATGTTTGCCACCATCTAGGTGGGATGTCTAACTCATCTTTTCTGTTGACCGAAGAAGGGTAGGAAGAGATATGCAAAGCTTTTGTAATGGCCCGCTCTTTGTGAGAAAGAAAACCCTTTTGCAGAACTTTTGTCTTTTCGAATGATATTTTATGACGTGAATATAAGGCATGAACCGCAATGGCTGAGGTTTTTTCAAGTTTTTCTAGATCATAGAAATATTTCGGTAGTTTCTTGTAACTTCGACCGTGTTCATGTTTAATCTTTTCTAAATGAAGGAATTGGCTAGAAAGATGACAACTATGTATCGTTTGGCTAAAGAACAATTATCACAACAATACCATTATGATTTTGGTTTAAGAGCATTACGATCTGTTCTATTGATGGCTGGTTCAATTAAACGAGCTAATCCAAACTTGAAAGAAGATCATCTTTTGATGCGTGCATTATATGACTCTAATATACCAAAATTAATTAAAGATGATACACCATTGTTTATGGGACTTGTACAAGATTTATTCCCTGGTATGGAATTCGAAGCTGCTACTGTACCATTAGAATTGATTAATGCTTGTACAAAAGTTTTAGAATTACATCGTTACACTGTAGTTGATGGACAGGTGAGTAAAAGAGATATTACATTACTTTGTATATGATCTTAATGGATCCATAAAGAAAAGATTAAAATGTTTAGGCAATTATCATCATCTGCCTTATAGGGTAACAATAAGTCCGACTCATTTTAAGGCAAACAGAAATTATCTCATCTCTATCTACATTGTGCTTAATTGATTAGTCGTCAAGCCAATTATTTAACTATATCTTGGCTATAAATCTGGTCAGCAGTTCTATTAAGAATTCCAAAAGAGATTTTTGCTCACTTAATGGGATATAAATATAAAAGCCTACACTTTTCCTGATCAAAACTTTAAGCAAACTCTCTGAAGCAAGATAAATCAAGACATATGGTGGATGATATCGAATGTACGTGTTCAACCTCAGCTTCACAGTGGTTCAAAACTATACAAATCAACAATTCCTACACGTTCAGTGGTCTTACCTTCACAGACTAAAGACTAATATCTATCTAGAGAGCTTTCAAAAAGAACTGAAATATCTTATGAACTCATATGAACATTCCATCAATTTAAGACAGAATTCTCTGAAAGGGACAAAAAGCATTCAGACAGAAAACGTCGAAGTATTGGTACCCTTTGACATCACAACATTATACATGTCAATTGAATCACAATTGACTAAGAATACTGTTTCTCCTCCTCATTGACGATATAAAGCTTTCTTAACACAAAACGTCAGTGTTCAAGTCTGATGGAACTCTCTGATTTCTTTCAAATAACATACTTTCAGTTCAGTGGTAAGAAGTAAAAACCGATGAAAATAAATTCACTTGGATCACCAAAATAGACCACATCTATCAACAGATAAAAAAATATTTATCAAATACAGAGTCAGAAGTCAGGTAAAAAACAACCATTTCCGTTGGTTTATGGATAATGGTTAACAATGGAATCCATCATTACTATATAGTTGAGAACACAGGCAATATCCAGGTATCCACACAGGAGCCCATATACCAATAGAGATTAATCAATTCGGTTCAATCAACCACAGTATAATACAATCAATGATACTAAAACTATACCCGTCGCACAAAAAGTGGCTGTCGTGGCTTGGTGGTCTAGTGGATAACGCTGTGGCGTTTGGAGCGATCGCTCCCGAGTCCAAATCCTGGTAGGAACAACATCATTGCTCACTGCGAGGCAGATACATCCAGTTGACGAGTCCCAAATAGGACGAAAAGTACATCCTGGATTCCACTGCTAGCCACTATCCATTATTATTACATGTCTGAAATGATTGTTTAATAATTCTTACTATCAAACAAACTTTCAGTAGAAGTATTCAAAAATAAATATGTTAACTTGATACTACTCATATAAGTGACTGTTACTTATGCATAACCAAAAGATAAATGAAGAATACAAAGGATATGTTTCAGAAATACCAATATAAAGCAAGCTGAGAAGCAATACAGGGTTATAATTATACCGTTCTCATTGCAATCAGTATAGTGAAAATTATTAATTACGAGAATCGGTTGAAATAAGCATAAATATGATACTCAGCTAATCGACTACCAGTTAAAGGTAATAGGAATTAACACTATCTGCTTTATAGCTGTAGGAAGAGAGAAGTTAGAGGCGAAAGAATAAATGTTTATCATTAGTCTTTGGTACAGTAGCCATCGAATAAGGCACACCTTTCAGTAAGACAGTAATTTGCATAATGTGTTTCATTTCCTCCTCTGCTTCTATCCTGATTTACTCTTAACACACCAGTATTGTCTCTTAGGTTTTCCTGATTAGAATCCTTACTTTTATTGCCAATAATTACCTATGATTTCTTCAGTCTTCTCAATATATACTACTTATATCCATTTTGATTAGCAACGCCCACTAAATAGGAAATAGTTCAATTGTAGATGATTTAACTTACTGATAATGGTTATTCAAGTGTTGATTTTTTTCTTTGCACAAGTATACACTTATATAACGTTTTCTTAATACATTTCAGATCAATAAGATATTTCAGCTAAAGGATACCTTAAATGTTAGGCATTCTGTAATGGTTGTCGGTCCAACATGCAGTGGAAAAACAGTAATTATAACAGTTTTTGGGAAAGCTTTAAAGCTGTAAGTTATTATGTAAATTAAAGTAAATATGCTGTGAAAATTAAATTGGACACACTGCCATCAAGATGATAGCTATATACTGTAAATAGCCGCATAGACAGATAAATGTAAAAGCGGGAAAAGCACTTGATCTAATACTATTTGAATTCAGGGTACCAAACTTCATTATGGTAATGATGGATAGTAGCTAGCAGTGGAATCCAGGATGCACATTTCGTCCTATTTGGGACTCATCAGCAGTATGTACCTGCCTCCCAGTGAGCAGTGGTGTTGTTCCCACCGGGATTCGGACTCGGGAGCGATCGCTTCAAACGCCAGAGCGTTATCTATTACAACACTTAGCCACGATAGGCACTTCTTGATCGACGGGTATAGTCTTAGTATTGTTGCTAAAACTACTAAAACTATACCCGTCACACAAAAAGTGACCATTATGGCTTGGTGTTGTAGTGGACAACACACTGGCGTTTGAAGCGACCGCCATCGAGTTGGAATCCCAGTGTGAACAACATCACACTCACTCAGCTGATGAGTCCCAAGTAGGACGAAACGCACATTCTGGGTTCCACTGCTAGCTATTATCCATCTTTACTATAACTAAAATACAGGTATGTCGAGGTATCCGCACAGGACCCCGTATGACATTACAGACCGATTAATATTTTTTAGGCAATAATTTATAGTAGTTTTCAGTCATGAAAATCATATATGGATGCAAATTATGAAACAAATATGAAAGTATTTGATAAACTGAGTAAATATGAATTGAAATGTTCTTGATTTCAAACAGACAGTTGTCGGTACACAAGGGAATGAGGAATTTGTAACTAAGTTAAGTGAATAGTGTTCTCGTAACAACAATATGATAATTAAAAGATTAGTGTGACTTAAAAGAAAATGGAAAGCTTAACAATTAAGAAGGAAATAATGACAGGGAATGAAAAAGTCACTTCTTGATACACAATTCTAGTTTCTATTGTTGTATTACCAGAACTTTGATAATATAAAGTAAATTTTTCTTCAAACTTTTTGAAAGATTACGTTATACTTTATCGATTCAGTGTTTCATCATTTCTTCTTCTTAGTAATACGTCGAGAAATGGTATTTTTGAGTGTGATTCTGTCCCCACTGTAAAGTTGATGGGAAACTGTAGTAATTTCTGAAAATCACAATTCTTTTCATAAATAATGAGTATATCATCTACATATCTTCCATAGAGTTTAAGCTGCTTGATAACTAGATTGAGTATGATTTTCTATGGTTTGACCATAAATATGTCTAACAATGGATCCAGTGGGTGACCCCATTGTCATCCTGTCTTTCTGGTGTTATAAAGCGTTACTAAACCTAAGCTGTACATCAAATGTGCAGTTTGAAAGTAGTTCTTTCAGGTATTTTCTCAGTATGCCGACATCATTTGCATTTAAATTAATGTAGTCGACGAAGGGGAAAATAGGCATCATGAATGGGAAAAAGATAAGAACGAAGAAAGGGTAGGCTTATAAGTTTGAAATCATTAGGAATGCAAATGATATTGTCTTCTTTTATTTGAAACCTTTCAGCTGAACTCCTAAGTATCGTAGTAGGTGCTCCGATCCTAATCTATCTATCACTGACTTAGTATATCTAAAGGATTATTAATTTACTGTATGATATCTTTCTGAGAAAATTGAAGCATCGAAGCTAGTAACTTATCAGGCAAACTTTTTGGTATTCCATTATTTGAGTAACCATACACCATACGAGTGGTCAGCTTCTGTTGAAGTTCTCGATTAATAAAAGACACGGTACAATGTAATATCTTCTGCTAGTTTTTGGTTATGACTCATTTAGTCAAATATGAGGACAAGCGGACCATAATTCATAATACATAACAAGTACTGCGAAATAAGCAGTTAAGTTATTTTTGCTGATGAAACCTCGGTTAACACTTTTGGTTAACACTGTCACTTACTGATTACTTAGTGGAGCGCAAACGACTTCATATCTAGTCGTGAGTACTGACCGGATTCTATCAATCAATTTGCAATATGGCCATCAGACTAGGAGGCTAACCATCGCGATGCACTTTGATGGAATTCGGTTGGTTGGAGGCAATCTATAGGAAGCCCCGGATTTAGGTCACGCGCTTTTTGGCAGTCGTCAGTAACATTGAAGGAACTAATATCTCATGTGAGATAATGAACCCACGTCACCCAGTTTTACAGTCAGTGACTTTATCAGTGAGCTATTGGGGCAAGAACTCTAGGTTGAGTAAAGCTTCTTGCCGATTGCCTCCAACTAACTGTTTCTCTTATTCCGAAACAGCAAATCATATGATAACAAGGTTAAAACGCAGGGGTAAAACGTATGGCCTTATACAATTACCATCACAAGACTACTTTACGAAAAATTTTAAGCTATAAAGTGATTTATTAAAGTAAACACATATTTAGGCTTTGCATTTTGCATTCTTGGTTCCTCTACTACATTCGCTAAATATTTAGCTTCAGATACGTTTTAAGAAGATATTCACTAAAAAAGATTACAAAGTGCTACCGTGAATAGTATGAATGTCTAAAAACTCTCCAAACAGGCGACTTTAAAGGTCACCTTAGCAACAACTGAAATAACTAGTCAGAGTTCTTTATTTTATGAAGATCTGCCTTTTCAGTTGAAATAGGGGTCCTAATTGGTTATTTCGATCGTTGCTAGGGTGGCTTTTAAATTCATCCTTCCGAAGCATCAAAATCACTTTGTTTTTTAATCACATTTATAGATGAGCTACACTAGACAGGTGTTTACCAGTTGAAAACCCCCTAATTAGAACGAAATAGCAGGCTGGTGCTTTCACTTTTTGAATAGTTCTCTATTTGATGATGAAATCTAGCAGGAGATGATAAACATAGCAGATCTAGAATCTTTTCAACTCGACATTTTGTTGGTGTATTTCACTCAGTAATAATCTACAGCATCTCAAACAAATGACATACGTCATTGTTGAACAATAATCTTCTTGGACAATATCCTTCACGTTATTTAAATATAGCTTTGTAAAAGTAAACAGTTTAAATATAGCATGGAAATAATTTCATAATAGTCAGACGAAGGCATATCAATCAATAATTCATCGGATGGACACGTTTTCATGAAATTCTTAGAGTGAGACATGTGGATCATAGCTAATAAGGTGAACAAACCGTACTTCATTATATTTACGAGCATTATGTGTGCTTAAATTGACCAGCCCATATCAGTGAATATTTCTAATCGTTGTTAGTAATAATACACTATTTAATATGAATTTACTTGTTTATATATTCGTTTCGTTTTTTTTAAAAGACTTGGAATCAATACAAAAATGTGTACTATTAATCCTAAAGATCGTACTGTCAATGATTTATACGGCGTACTTGAGCCAACTACACGAGAATGGATGGACGGTCTATTATCCTATTTATTTCGTTTAATGAATCAAGTAGGAAGTGATGTAAATGAACGTCGTATGCTTATCTTAGACGGTGATGTTGATACACAATGGATTGAGAATATGAATTCTGTTATGGATGATAATAAATTGTTAACATTAATCAATGGTGAACGTATTCGATTACAACCTAACTGTTCATTATTATTTGAAGTGAAAGATTTACAGTATGCATCTCCAGCAACTGTATCACGTTGTGGTATAGTTTATGTGGATCCAAATAATTTAGGATATAAATGTTATTGGGAAAGTTGGGTAGGTGGTATTTCGTTTTCAATACTAATACTATTTTTGATTAAGAAGTTTACTTATTTCCGTTGCGCTAGAAAGGCTGTGATAAACTATATAGAAGGGATTCATTACTGAACCTCTAAAGTGTAGGTTCAGTCACTGTGAATAAAAACTAAATAATAGAAGTTATTCTTGCATTATTTCCTAAACTGCTGCTTTTTAATCAGCTGTCATCATGATGGAAAATCGTCTAGTTAACCTTCTTGAATTTGTCACAAAGAGATTCTTGATGAAGCAACAAAAACGACGAAAGTATCTATCCACTTTTCATTTTATTTTGGAATATTATGGTATTGTAAACCTTTTTAAAATGTCACCCAAAACATTCAATTTTTAAGGAAAGTACTTGGTGAATAAGTCATGCAGAGTGGAGCTAAATAGATGCTATTTTCAACTACAAACTAACCAGTTTCTAAAAGTAGTGGTTTGAAAATCTATTTGTGAAATATCACTTGTGATATATACTTTTTGAAGTGAATGGGGATTTTTAATTTAGAAGTAGTATTCATCATGGGCTGACATTAGTTGGGGAACCATTGAGAATCTGAGAGCACTGGACAGTTGTGTCGTCCTAGTATGGGACTCCTCGGCAGTACGCACCCACGACCTGGCTAGGGACCCTGAGTTCGACCCCTAGCCAGGTCGTGGGTGCGTACCGCCGAGGAGTCCCATACTAGGACGACACAGCTGTCCAGTGCTCCCAGATTCTCAATGGTTTCCCAACTGATATCAGTCCATGATGAACACTACCTCTACATACCTTTTCTTTTCATTCACTTGAGAAGTATAGCAACTTGGAACAATTCACTTCTATGTAAGGTCCTATGTTGATTTCGTTTGTCACACACTTCTAATTTAAGCTAATTTTTGGGAAATTGAAGTAAATTTGAAAATTCATTATTGCTCAATGTTCCTTTCTAAGATTGTAGAGAAGATTTTTAACTCAGGATGAGAATAATAATTATTTGGTATTCTCCAGGCTTCTTTCAGAGGTAAATCCTGAGGAATTAGCTTGAAATAAAATTAAAAAGTCTGTTGAATAACATTCTGACAATATACAAAAATGCTATTGAAATATCTTGACAACAAAGAGAAAGTAAGTGAAAATTTATGAAATATACTTCATATCTGTATTTTTCATTCAGAGGTAAACGTTTTATTACAAAGATCAGAGGTATTCATTTCAGTTTATGTATAATGCTACTTACGTTTTAATCAGTAGTCTGATTATACTGCTCAAAAACACTTATTGTGTCTTAATAAATTTTATTTTATCTAGTTGTTAGGTGTACCGTGTGAAATGAAAGAAAAATTGCATGGATTATTTATGAAATACGTTCCCACATTAATTGATTTTATATTTGATGGGATTATACCATCTTCACTTACTCGACAGTTAGGATCTAATCAAATATTTACCGATGGTATTGGCGGTGATGAACAGAATCGTGGAGAAAACAAAAATGATGAAACTAAAAATAATTTTTCATTGAAATCAAAGCAGAAACTTGTTTTACCATTGGTCAAAATGAATTTAATCATACAATTATGTACAATCCTACGGAGTCAATTAAATGTTGGTTGTATTCCCGGAACAAAAGTAGATATTATAGAGAGAGAGAATACTCGAACTTCATTAACTTTAGCTAAGTATGCATTAATTTTAAAACTTCATTTGTATTTTTAACGAATATGAAGATTTTTCTTAGTATAGGTTGATATTTTTAAAAGAAGCTTGTTTAATTCAGGTAACTTTTATAAGCATATGGCATATACAACTAATCCCCCTGGATGAACCTACAATCTGAAACTCTGTTATCAGAATGCTGTAGTATTGAGTGTCAGTATCTCAGATTCTTTAGGTAAAATTATAAGGACTACAAATGTAAATTTTCATTTTGGAAATGAATGAGTATTTAGAATTTGTTGGTGAATTAAAGAGGTCTGATAGTTCCATGCGTACTGTTTATCGTTGTGAATACAGGTTCTAGTTCGACGTGGAAGATTTTCATAATTTTTATTTCTGTGGAGTTCCATTGTCATTTGACGAAATGATTATTCATTGATTATTGATTTTTAATAATTTGTGGTGATTCGCGCAGTTACATCCAACTGACAAGTCCCAAATAGAACGAAACACGTGTCCTGCTTTCCTATGCTATCCATAACCAAGTAAATTATCTTAATAACTATTCAGGTAATATTTAGGCATCTGTATAGGAGTCCATATATACCAATAGAGATCAAACAATTCGATGGGATATAACAACGCAGAATTACAAGTATGTCAATAAATAGTAGTGATAATGATTGATCGTGGATAGCAGTGGGATCCAGAGTGCTCATTTCGCCCTACCTGGGAGTCGTCAGCTGGACGTACCTGCATCCCAGTGAGCGGGGATGATATCCCCACCGAGACTCGAACCCAGGATCGACCCATTTAAACGCCATAGCGTTATCCACTAGACCACCGAGCAACGACAGATACATCTTATGCGACGGGTATAGTTTTTAGTATAGGGGTTTTCTAATATGATACCGTCGGTGACTGGACCGAATTGATCGGTCTCTATTAGCATATGGGCTCCTGTGCGGATGCCTCGATATTGCCAGAAATCTAATTATGTTAATGATGGATTTGCACAGGAGCCCATATCCTAATGGAGACCAATCAATTCGGTCAAATCAACGACGGTATCATATAAAAAAACCTTATACTAATAAATAGTAATGATTGAAGTTACTGTCAAATGTTAGTGTAAAGAAATTGGAATATTTTTGTTCTAGGAGAAGCCACACTGGGATACTTGGAAAATACAAGATAAAGTAGATTTTCTTTTTTCGAAATATGTCGTTTATACTAGAATATGAATAAATAACGGACATTTTTTCTGGTAGTCGGTTTGGTTGGTGATTATCATTGAAATATAGATTTATCTAACCTTAATAAACTTACTAAGCTATTAATTTATTATCATTTCGACAATTTGAGATACCCGTGATTTGACAGATTGGAATTGATACTTGGTGGTGATTAGAGATGAAATGAAAATTTGAATCGCGGTGGGACTGGAACCAGCAACCTAATTCTCTACCAGTTGAGCTATGAGTTGGTAGAGGACCGGACTGGAAATCAGGTGGTCGCTAGTTGGATTCAACTTCTGATATCCACTTTAAGCTGCTTAACGTTTACTAAATATCTCAGCATATGAACATTATTGAAAATCTCAGCCAACAAAATACTGTTTCCAGTTTTTCACAACTATACTGTATGTTTCTGGGTCGAGAGGCGCTAGGCGAAATGAATGAGAATGGAGAATTGTTTGCAGAATTCTGTGCATTCAACGATTTGGTGATTGGAGGCAGTGTGTTCAGGCACAAGGATATCCACAAAGCGACATGGACTTCACCAGATGGACACACTAAAAACCAAATCGACTTTATCTCAATCTCAAGAAAATGGAGACGCAGTCTACTTAACACAAGGTCAAGAAGAGGAGCAGATGTAGGTTCAGACCACTATCTAGTGCAAGGAACCTTCGAAATCAAGTTAAAAGCCTTCAAGGAAGCTGGTGATAGACCGCAGTTCAAGTACAACACTCGGAAACTGAAGGATGAAACTACAAAGGAGATCTTCACGGCAGCCATCAAGACAAAATGGGAGACGTCGAGGGACATCCCTGAAGAAACCTGTGTGGAAGAACACTGGAAGTCTTTGAAAGCTATGTGGAAAGAAACCTGCACAACCGTATTAGGAAGGAAGAAGAAAGAAGATAAGGAATGGAGTGGATGTCAATGGATACATGGAAGCTGATAGAGCAGGGAGAGGAGGATGGTGAAGCAGAAGATAAACCAGTGCAAGGATGAACAACGACAAGAGGAACTGAGCACAATGTATAAAACACTGGACAAAGAAGTGAAGAAGAGTGGGTGGAAAGACAAAAGACACTTCTACGACACACTGGCAAGTGAAGCAGAACAGGCTGCAGGTAGGAGAGACCTGACGACATTGTATCAAATAACCAGGTTGCTATCAGGGAAGAGACCAACACAGATGAAACCAATAAAAGATGAAGAAGGAAATTTAATTACAAAAGAAGAGAAACAGAGGAAACAATGGGCCGACCACTTCAAGAAGCTCTTGAATCGACCACCACCACCACCTGCACTTCGTCCAGAAATACCACCTGCAGCCGCTGAATTACAAGTGAACATAAATCCCCCAACGAAAATGGAAGTCCTGAACGCCATAAAGCAGGCTACTGAAATGCGGGAAAGCAGCAGGACCAGATGGAATACCGCCAGAAGCACTGAGAACAGATGCAGAGACAACAGCGGACATGCTCACACCACTATTGCAGAAGGTGTGGAAGGAAGAGAAGGTACCTGACGATTGGAAGAAGGGTTACCTTGTCAAACTGCCGAAGAAGGGAGACCTCAGTGCTTGCAAGAACTGGCGCGGAATCACTCTCCTGTCCACCCCAAGTAAAATATTAAGCCGCATCATCCTGGAGAGGCTTAAAGACGCACTGGATTCAAAACTACGACCGGAACAGGCAGGCTTCAGGAAGTACAAATCATGTGCTGACCAAATTGCAACGCTTCGTATCATCATAGAACAGAGCGTAGAATGGCAATCAGCTCTCTACCTCAACTTCATCGACTTTGAGAAGGCCTTTGACAGCGTCGACCGAGAAGTAATTTGGAAACTGCTTCAATACTACGGAGTACCGCAAACCTTTATCCGCCTCATTCAACAACTATATGAAGATGCCACATGCCAAGTAATCCACAATGGGAAGCTCAGTGATGCCTTTGAAGTGAAGACAGGAGTGAAACAAGGTTGCCTACTATCACCCATGATATTCCTGATTGTGGTGGACTGGATCATGCAGCAAACAGTAGGCAGCGAGAAGAGGGGGATACACTGGACGACGGAAAAGAACCTAGAAGACTTGGATTTCGCCGATGACTTGTGCCTAATGTCACATAAACTTGAAGATCTGCAGGCAAAAACTAACAAGTTGACAGAAGAGGCAGCTAAGACGGGACTTCAGGTGAATATAGAGAAGACAGAAGTGATGAAGATACCGCACCACCACCATCAACAACAACAACAACAAACTCCAATCACCGTCAACGGGAGAAACTTGAAGGAAGTAACCTCCTTCACTTATCTAGGAAGCACTGTTTCAACTACAGGCGGGACGGACGAGGACGTCAAAGTCAGAATCGGAAAAGCAAGACAGGCCTTCATTAGCCTGAAACCAGTGTGGAGATCTTCTGCACTCAGCATACGCAACAAGATACGGATTTTCAACACCAACGTCAAGTCAGTGCTCTTGTATGGTTCAGAGAGTTGGCGCGTCACGAAAGGCATTTCCAATAAACTACAGACATTCATCAACAACTGCTTACGCTCGCTGCTGAAGATCAGATGGCCAGAAAAAATAAGCAACAAGGAACTCTGGGAACGAACCAACCAAGAACCTATCACGCAACAAATATGCAAGAAGAAGTGGAGATGGATTGGCCATGCACTGAGAAGGCCGACTGAGGACATCACGCGTCAGGCCCTCGAGTGGAATCCCCATGGGAAGCGACGAGTTGGACGTCCGAGGGTGACATGGAGGAGGTCATGCGAGGAGGAAATGAGAGCTTCTGGGCTGTCGTGGAACCAGGTTCAAAAGATCTCAGAGAACAGAGGTCACTGGAGGCGTGCTACTGAAGCCCTATGTTCCACTAGGAACCCAAGGGACTAATAATAATAATAATACTGTATGTTTCACATTGGAGCTTAAAATGTTTGAACCCAGTGTCAAATAGGAAAACTTTCATAAAACTCTTAAATCTCAAGCCATTAATGTATAGTGTTTCTAAGACGCGCATATGGGACCAAAGTATGGTTATTCACTTGACAACATTTGGAGAATTTGACGAACCTGAAAAATTCACTTTACAACTGCCAGAGACTCCGTGATCAGCTCCTATGAACTTGTTGGTGTAGCTATTTAACTGAGTTTTCAAGCAGAAGGCGTACTGCTTGACTGGATGTCGGTCAATATCCATATATGCGCTGTCCAGATGAAATTATCTGTAGTAGCTAAAAAAGAACATGAAAGAAGCTGACTCTTATTCATAATTTTTGGCTATTTATCCATCTCCCAACAAATATGCAGAAGAATAAAGTGAAGATGGATTGAATTGGGTATACACTGAGAAGACCATTCGGGGACATCATGTGTCAGGTTAGGACAAGCCGTCGAGTGGAATCCAAATAGGAAAAGACGATTTGGGTGTCCGAGGCGAAGGTAATATGGAGGAGATAGTGTGATGAAGAAATGAAAGCTTGTGGGCAGTGGTGTAGCTAGGTTCGAGAGGTTGCAGAGAACGGAGTAGAATGGTGATGTGCTACTGAAGCTCTATGTTCCACTGGTAACCCAAGGGACAAATAATAATATAATAATGCACCCACTGAATATTTAATTGACAATGGGAAATGTTAGCCTTACCAAAAGCTGTCAGTTTTGCCAATTAGAGCAAAACATTCAAATACAGTTATATTAGCCTTTGACTTCAAAGTTCAAACGCAGAAGTTAAGTATTTTAGTGAAATTTATAATTTTCTGTGACAGCAAAGTAAAAACCATAGAGTTTGTTCTGAAAAAAACACTTGTTCTTACTTCTTAATGTTTTGCTCTGCGTCGACCAACATCAAGCCACCATCGGACACAGACCATATGGTCATAACCCATGGTTGGAGGACTGCTGCTTTTTCTGAGGGATTTGTTTGAAGTTTGATCATGCATTAATACAGGTAGTTGTGAGTTGTAGTCCCAACGGGTGTTGGGAACATACAGAAACAGAACCTCCTTATGACAGACTAAAAGACGAGGTCATTATATGATGACTTAGGGAAGAGACAGTTTAGCATTTATCTAAACAAAGCAGAAATTCTCATGTAGATGAAGCATGACTATAATCAGTCTGTTATAAAAGCAGTAGTAAAGACAATTAGCAACCTACATCCAAAAATCAGCATAAGCTAATGGATTGCTGCAGGTTTATTGGAACTGATTGATGCTATAAGACTCATTCCGTCTGGCTACGATTACGATGAGAAACGAAATCAACTTAAAAGTAGACTGACAAAGAATTTTTTTTAGTGACCATGAGGTGGTGGTTGCCGAAATCGGAAGAGTTGGAGAAGTCGTTGGCCTTGATTTTATGCCTGACTGTTATTTGGCTTATTTAGGATTCTGCAGCAAATAAGACGGCGGTTTGCTAGGCAAACATTGAAAAGGATAGGTCCCTGATAACTTCTCAGAGTAAGTAGATTAAACGTTGACCAAAAAACATTAGAAGTTTCTAGGGATGAAGGTAGAATATTACGGATAACAGTTACGAGAATACTAACTGCTGTTTGGAAGTTATACCTAGTTCCGTTATGGTATTCTCGGTCGCTGATCATCCTAGTTTTTAAGACAGGGGGAAAGTCTTGCTGTGACAACTACAGGAGGATCAGTTTGACTAACATCATGCCTTCGATCTCCGGTTTAATAGTTACAGAACGCCTAAATAGAGCAGGAGAACAACAAACTCGTGAAAACAAGGCAGTTTTCGGGCTTAAACGAGAGTGTATAGACCAGATTTTCACCCTTCTACAGGTTGTGGAACACAAGTATGTTTACCGGAACCCTACACTTATCCCATCTGATGAACCGAAGGAGGCGTTAGGCCTTATCATTTGGAAGTTGCTGTAACAGTGTATGACTTTGAAGTGGGTATGTACCCTTTGAGTATGATATCATAATGAAGGATCTGTATAGAAAATGACAAAGGCTTGCGAAAAGTCGCCATTTAAAGTAACGTCAGCCAGTGGTGTCCACTGTCAACATTGCTTTATATCGATGTAATCGAAAGTATCCGAGAATTCTAGGGTGCTGACTTACTTCCTGGAGGAAACCTAACTTTACCATACAGTACTCATATGACATTGTTTTGTTAGCTAGAAATGCTGAGAAAGTCTAAAGTTTTCTAAATGCCTTCAGTTAGAATCTACGTACTTTTGGCATGCATTTCACTCTAAACACAATACGTTGAAAGTTTCAGTGAAAACAAGGGACTATTGAGGCATCTGTTTAAGTTCAATTCATTTATGGAGATCGATAACGTAAGAGATCTAAACTTTAAATGATTAATCTGGAGAAGTCTCTGGTATTTGAAGCAAAGGATATTACATATGGAATACAGTAGTAAGTACAACATAGATTCAGCATATGCAGTTGATTAGTACCGAATAGTGTGAAAAGCGTTTTGTTATTTCGACTGTAAGCCACTATGAAATACTGGACCAAAACACAAAATTATCTTACTAAAAAACTGATTGAGAGAAGAAATATATTCCTTTTCAATTAGGTCTTCACCTTGAGCTCTACACTAATATATAGGCTTACAATTTGATCAAATTACCAATCATGTGGTGATGTTTTAGAAATAATGATGTAAATAAACCATAGTTACTGAAATTGGAAATATGAAGCAGGTTATTCGTAGTCATTCATAATAAGCGATCACATAATGATAGGAAAACAAATGAATATTGATAAAAACAAGAAGGGGAAGAGGTGTACAAAGTAATCCTAGAAGTTACATCATATTGACGGCCACGGTAATGAAAGTGGTTGAACAAACTTCTTTTAGACACAAAGGCTAGGTTTGTAAAGGTGGATTGCAATCACCTCTGTTATGTGAAGTTAGCGAGTGTGTAGTCCATGTGGTAAATTAATTGGAATCTGATGAATGATTTTGAAAGCTTTTCTAGTATCTACTTGATGTCCTGTGTCAACTGGGTGTGCAAGTATGTAGCTCTTGATTCTTCAAAGTTACCCCCTGCTCAACCATGATGAGCGGTGCTCAGAAATTCGACGATGGAACTGCCTCATTGTGCGCTCAATGTAACTAGCTTCAAAGGAGTAGTTGAATTGATAAGTGCATATGGAAGTGGCAGAATCAGACAGTTTGTCTTTATTTCTCACAGCTAGAATAGTGCGGTTGTAGAAGATGGGGCATAACTTGGCGGCTGGGAAGGCTTTATGCAGGCCTATTTTTATGCGCTGTGTGATGATTTCACTGTCAATGTCACTCTTGAATTTCAGCTTCAAAAAGATTTGCTTCTTAGGAGGTGTTGGCGTTTTTGTCTTAACCCTCGTAACATTCATATGCTTAGTCCCAATTTTGTAAGCAAGATAGAATTTTTACAGTAGTAATTCCTACATTATTTCACTGGAGATTTAGCCACAAAAAAATTCCGATTTTTCATTTTTTTAGTGTTATAGTTACGTTTGAAAACTTCCCTCTAGAACATGTGATTCTGAAAATTCTTCTGTTTTTCAATTCTTTTTTGCAGAATTAAACTGGATACAAGTGGAGGAGCTGATAATAACGAACCGCCTGCATCACAAATCTTAACGTCACCAGGAACATTGTCTGAAAAACAAAGTGTAACTTCATCAGATGGCATGAGACTTTGCAATCATGAAGTATTGGAGTGTGTATTTCTTCATGCCTTGGGTTGGGTATTTACTAATGTTGTAGAACAGTCATATCAAAAGGCTGTAGATACATTTATTAAAACATTAGCCACTTTACCGACAGTTGATGAAGGACCTAGAAATAGCTCTTTACCAATTGGTAAATGATTTATTATTACATTATTATTTGTCCCTTGGGTTCCTAATGGAATATATGGCTTTAGTAGCACGTCTCCAGTGCACTCTGTTCTCTGAAAGTTTTTAAACCTGGCTCCACGACAGCCCACAAGCTCTCACTTCTTCTTCGCACGATCTCCTCCATGTCACCCTCGCCTCGAACGCACAACTCCTCGTTTCCCATTTAAATTCCACTCAACGGCCTGGCCTGACGCGTGATGTCCCCAATCGTTCTTCTCAGTGTATGCCCGTCCAATCCATCTCCACTTATTCTTATTCTGAATATTTGTTGGGTGATAGGTTCTTGCTTCAGTTGATTCGTTCCTAGAGTTCCTTGTTGTTTATTCTTATTATTCCGGCCATCTAAGCTTCAGTATTGGGCCAGCGTAGGCAACTCTTGATGAATGTCTATAGTTTGTTGAAAGTACTTTTCATGACACGCCAAGTTTCTGAACCATCACATAGAAGCACTCACTGACTTAATTGACTGAATTAGTGTTGGAAATCTGGATGATGTTCATACTTTATGCTGAGTGTAGAAGATCTCCACAGTGGTTTCAGGTTAATGTCATGCTTTTCCCATCCTGGTTGGCTTTGACGTCCTCATCTGTGTCTGTGCCGCCTGTAGTTGAAACGATGCTGCCTGTCTAGATAGGTAAAGGAGGCTACTTCCCTTAAGTTTCTCCCGTTCATGGTGATTTCAGCTTGTTGTTGTTGGTGATGTTGTTGGTTGTGTATCTTCATCACCCCTGTCTTCTCTACGTTCACTTGAAGTCCTTTCTTCGCTGCCCTGCCTTGCCTCTTCTGTCAACTTGTTAATTTTCGCCTGTAGATCTTCAAGTTTGTGTGACATTAAACATAAGTGATCATCGGCTAAATCCAAATCTTCTAGGTTCATGGGTGATAGTAGACAGCCTTGTCTTACTCTTTCCTGTCTTCACTTCAAAAGCATCACTGAGCTTTCCATTGTGAATTACTTGGCATGTGACGTCTTCATATAATTGTTGAATGAGGTTGATAAAGGTTTGTGACACTAAAACAGTAGTGTGGAAGCAACAGCTGCCAAATTACTTCTCTGTCGACGCTGTCGAAAGGCTTTTCAAAGTCGATGAAATTGTGGTGAAGAGTTGACTGCCATTCTATACTCTATTCTATGGTGATGCGAAGCATTGCAATTTGGTTCGCTCATGATTTGTACTTCTTGAATTCAGCCTGTTCCGGTCGTAGTTTTGAATCCAGTGCATACTTTAGTCTCTCCAGGATGATGCGGCATAATGTTTTGCTTGCACTGAGTGGACAGGAGAGTGATTCTGCGTCAGTTCTTGCAAACACGTAGGTCGCCCTTCTTTGAGATTTTGACAAGGTAACCCCTTCTCCCAGTCAATAGGCAGGTGCCTTCCTTTCCTTCCAGACCTTCTGCAATAGAAGTGGTGTGAGCATGTCCACTGTTGCCTGTGAGTCTGCTCTCAGTGCTTCTGGTGGGATTCCATCTGGTCCTACTGCTTTCCCGCATTTCAGGGTTGGTAGCCCTACGCCCAACCTTCCCTCTTCACCTGGGCTTAGGACCGGCTAGTAACTAGGGAACTAGTTAACCAGGCTAGGTAAATGATACTTTTTGTAAACTGGATTTTTCATTTGGGCTTTTAATCTGGTTGACTTTGAAATTTAACCGAGTCGTTTATATCTGTTGACAAGATTATCTAACTATTAAATGACGAATATTCTCAAAGGGGAAATAAAATTTTTGAAATGTATGGTATAAAGGAATATAACAAAGAAAATTAGGGGTGGTATTCATCCCGGACTAACATCAGTTAAGGAACCCTTGAAAATCTAGGAGAACTGGAAAGCTGTTTCGTCCTAGTATGACACTCCTCGGCAGTAACAAGTAGCTGAATAGTTAAAGAGTTCGGCATGAAACCTGCAGGTTCTAGGTGGATCCCTAACCGGATCGTGAGTGCGTACTGCCAAGGAGTCCCATACTAGGGCGAAACAACTGTCCAGTGCTCCTAGATTTTTAATGGTCCATCAACTGACGTCAGTCCGTGATGAATTATCATTATTATTTGGTCTTTGAGTTCCTAGTAAAACATAGGGCTTCAGTAGCACGTCAACATCTCACTCTCTTCTCTCCAGTCTCTCGAACCTGACTACACCACTGACTATAACCTTGCATTTCTTCTTCACACCATCTCCTCCATATCACTCTCGCCTGGAACGCACAACTCGTCGTTTCCCATTCGCGTTCCACTCAACGGCCTGGTCTGGCTGACGCATGATGTTCCCAAAATGATCTTCTCAGTATGTACCCAATCCAATCCATCTCCACTTCCTTCTTCTGCATATTTGTTGGGTGATAAGTTCATGCTTCGTTGTTTCGTTGTCAGTCAGCCAGCCAGCTAGCCAGAATGAGTTCATGCTTGTTTATTCTTCTAATTATTCTGGCCATCTCATCTCCATCTTTAGTGTCAATATCGAGTGAGTGTAGGTGTCACCTGTTGATGATGAATGTAAGTAGTTTGTCGAAAATGTTTTTCGCAACGCGCCATGTCTCCCAACCATCACATAGATGCACGCACTGACTTACTTGACTCAATTAGTTTTATTGCTAGCCACTGTCCATCATGACTGAATTAGTGTTGAAAATCCGGATGTTGTTCACTCTTTATGCTGAGTGGAGTAGAGTAGAGTGCAGTGAAGTGCAATGCAGTGGATTACAGTACAGAATATCTTCACATTGATTTCAGGTTGATGAAGGAATGCCTATCTTGCTGTCTTTCAGATCCTGGACGCTTTGACATCCCGATCTGTGCATGTGCCGCCTGTAGTTTAAACGACGCTGCCTAGGTAGGTAGGTAGGTGTGTAGGCAAGTAGGTGGGTAGGTAGGTGTGGGGTGGTAGGTAGGTGAAAAGACTATTTTCGTAGCTTAATAATGCATATTAGTTCATATAAGTAAACAAACTTGCCGCACACCGAGTGCATATATCTTTCCATTCTCTTAAAATTGGCCTGATTAATTTTTATACGATAATGTTTATTACTTGTAAACATTTCAAGAGTTTGTATGTTATGGTAGGGTTTATGATGAATATTGACTAGCAGTGGAATCCAGGATGTACGTTTCGTCCCATTTAGGACTCGTCAGCTGTATGTACCTACTTGCCAGTACACTATGTTGTTCTCATTGGGACTAGAACTCGGGACCGACCACTTCAAACACTAGAGCGTTATCCACTGGACCACCGAGCCACGACAGCCACTCATTGTGTGACGGGTATAGTTTTAATGTTGTTGCTTGTACGGTAGGGTTGCCAAAAACGTTAAGTTTAAGAATGTGTTAAGTCATAACTGAAAGTTGTACTACCCATATGGAAAATGAAGAGGAAGCAGCTGAACTGTTACCTACAGTTACCTACATTTGGCGAGTGGAATTAATTAGTTCAGCTTTAACTGAGTATGGCATAAAAATGTAGAGGGTTAACTTACTATAGAGTTGAACATTTTTGACTTACTAAGCACTAATACTCGTGTATTGCAGTTTATAAGCTATTATTATCATTATTATTACTACTACTATTTCCATATACAGGTACAATACCAATACATTATCCAATGTTGACCGATTATATATTTGATACGAACACGTTTGTGTGGAAACCTTGGGCTCATCTCGTACCAGAATATGTACACAATGCACGTGTTCGATTTGCTCAGATTCTTGTGCCAACTGTAGAAACTGTTAAACTTAATTGGATTTTAATGGAACATTTAAAAGTGAGTGAGTATTCAGTAGAGTAAGTTGTTTATTTATAGGTAAGAGGAAGTAATGGACCAGTAGCCATTAGTTTGTTTTTAGGGTAAACTGCCATCATACCACCTTGTGTACATATCTGTCTAGCACATAGAACTTGTCAGTTCACTTAAGGACATGAAAATATACTTCCTAAGACATTGTAAGCAGTTTGAGTACTGTAAAGTGACGTGTGAAAACTTTATGTCGTTTAGTGCATGAGCTGAGTAGAAACATTTTTCTATTATGGCTGAACTATGACAGGTCTAGCTGACTTCATTACGTTTCTGAGCGTATTCATGTACGATGTTCAGTTGAATGTATGCTTAAATTGTGATGATGATATGAATTTACTTCAGAGTCCAGAGGTTTTATCGTACAAAATTTTGGATGGATTGCATGTTGTATCAGCTTTCAGAAAAAGGGTCACTGATAGTCAACTGGTCAACTATGATGTATTTTTTTGACTAAATAATAACCTGAGGTTATCATTGACATTCATTTAGAGTGGATAACCACTAGTTTTGAAATAACTGCACCTAAAAATTAAGTTAATACGTGTAACTATCCCAATTCTTATGAGTATGCCCTATTGGTTTCGAAGATGGGCAGATTGTTTCACATGGCAGGTCATCTTCTGATGAAACAGGGCGTACATCATGTGTATGTTAAGTAAGAGAGAATTAACTTCATGTAACAAGGTGAAACAGTTCACAAAAGTAAGTGGATGATTAAATCTGCTCCCATTGTATGAAGGCCCCATGAAATCCAAATAAGTTTGATTGGAATACCTATCGTCATTTCAGAATAATAGTATTAGCTCCACATTTCCGGTAAGCAATGCAAAACTGTGTCTATTCTTTAAGACCTAAATCTTAGACTGGTAAAACCTGTTGTGTCGTGAACATGGAACGAATTAATAAACCTTGATGGCATATTACTTGCTACATATTATTTCAATATTACATTGACACAGTTCGATGGGTTGAGTTGTTGATATATGATAGACAACTTAGTATTTTCACATACTTAAATTTCTTTCCTGTAGTTCAAAAACAATTCAAGTCACTCTCAGATTTACTTGAATCTTCTTTTTGAAGACAAGATAGGTAAATCACATACAGTCTACTAACAAAATTCTATGCCATATATTAGAAAGGTACCAGATGTCGAATATGAACTAAAAGGTGTAACATAATTGTCTAGACTCTCATAAGAAGCATTTACTAGGAACAGATCCTAACGTGCAAGTCAAAGTAATTTCGTTTTTGAAAGTCAATAACTAATGAATCCCAGTGAACTATTTCAAGTGACTACTATCATACTACATGGAATTACAGAAATGGTTTCTGTACACATAAAGGTCGTTTAAATTTTTGTATGGCTATGGCTTACGCAAATCTTAGAATACATCCCTTACTATTTCTATATAAAACTTTGAAAGCTGTTTGAACATTAACTTTGTGACCTGTTTCTATGATATGTTTAGCTATAGATCACTCTACTGTACAGAGGGGAGTTGAATAGTATCATTTTGAGACGTAGGCTGACATCAGCCATTAAGAAAACGTATTACACGGTAAATCTTATCATTGTAGAAAAAACAAAACACATGCTTTGCCAAAAACTTAAACAGTGTATCAATTATTACGTCACATCCTACTGTGTTTACCAATTTACATGTGTATATGGTCACACACATACAGAGAGGAGTAATCGAGTCATGCAGTTGAGGTTGGGCGAACATGTACTTAAATGACTTCAAAAAAGAATGGAGTGTGAAACAGTGATAAACGCTGATGGGAGACGACTCTTTTCATTTATAGCTAAACATATCATAGAAACAGGTCAAGCAGCTTCCAAAGTTTTATGCAGAAATAGTCAAGGACGTGAACACTAATTTCATCCCTAGGGAAATGAAATGATTAAATTTATTCGGTATTTTTTTTTACATATTTACTATGATATCGTAATTTGAGAATCTTACTAAAATAAAATTTTTATTATGAAGATACAGTAGTACTACAGCTTATGTGGTAGCATGAACACAACAAACCTTAAATTTCATGATTAACTTTGTCAGTTGTTTTAGTTATGGATGAATAATCTATGATTTCATCAGGAAAATAAGTCACTTTTATTCAAACTATACGAAAAAAAGCAGAAATATTTAATCAGTTATTCAGACGAAAACTCACGTTTAAGTTGGGATATCTGTAATTACTTAGATCCTGTCGAAAGTCCGATTATATATATATATATATATATATATATATATATATATATATATATATATATATTACAGTTTTATATGCATTTGTATACCTCACCAATTCTTGCAAAGTCTTAGATCTCCCTTCTTTGGGAGTTTGACAAGATAGCCCTTCTTCCATTTTGCAGGGACCTTTATTCATACAAAAGTATTTGAAATGAATTCCAGATCTATGCATTGTTAAAGCACTTCAGTATTGAGAAGAAAGTTTGAGACTGCATTAGTGGTGAATAACTCAACAACGTTTAGGGATAAATGGCATGTTCTTTTAGTGTGCACCTATAGAAATCCGTATATCAAAGTTTGTATTCTAATGAAAGTACTTACTAGTACATCATAATGGTATACTATATTTCCTATTCGATATTGGAAGCTACCTGGAGAAACTGATGGCCTTCAGTCCTTATCAGAGATAACTATCTGTATTATTTAAAGAACTTTAAGTGCAAGGTTGAGGTAGAGGTTATGACTAGCCCTCCTCCTTACGAATACACCGTTCTGATAAGTGTAGGTAAACAATGATGAAACACGTGAAAGTGAAGTTTACTTGCCAACACGCTGATTTTAGAATGAGACACAAATGAGCAATTTTTTTTACCTAGATCCTCCCTAGTCATTATTTCAATGTAAACAGTGAAATATGTATTTAAAGTACTCAACCTAGCTCTCTACGTCCATCCATCCATATCAACATAGGATCAGACATTACAGCTTTACGGTCCCAGTTGCCACAGCTCATATCACTACATCAAGCAAAAAGGTAGTGAAGTGGAAGATGAAGATAAGAAAATTCAGTGAAAAGAAATACAAAGTACGAAAAGAGAGAAGGTAGAATGAGAAAATGGTGAGATTCAGTGTAGCGTCGTTAAGATGTGGATGATATGTGTATACATCTGCACCACTGATATCAGTTATGAGCCATGTGATCACCTAGAGTCCCCGACCACTGTTTCCTCTTGTCCCGCGGACCCCTCTCTGCATAAGCAGTTGCAAAGTGTCTATTGATAATCTCAGATCCTTAACACAAACAAGCAGTAAATAACAGTATGAAAGACGTCTTCAAATTCATTTCTAAGCTGAAAAATTTCAGTTTGTCTCATAATTATTGAGCATTGTACCATTATTTGAGACAGTGGAGTTAATGTGTCAACCGATATTAGAAAGGCAAATTAGTACCAGGATTATAGGTCACATCCTCGACGAATTACTTCTTAGATGTACTATGAATGAATATGTATTATAAGCATATTTCAGCTGATTTATTTCGCACCAGATTATACCAGAGCGTTAAAATATGTCAGCAATGGAATAAACACGCCGTTGTACTGACGAAACTTTCAATATTCTTGTTCAGGACGTAGATTGAAACCAACTGTTAGGGAAATTTTAATGAGGCACACTCCTTTACTTCCTTTCATGAAGAAGAGCGTGTAATGAAAGTAAACTGTTTAGGATGCTCTGCTAAGTGGAGTAGGAGATATTTCACGCAGTAGATGTCTACTCAGGAAGATGATATCCATAGGTTGGTGGACACATTTTCCTAGCCAGGTACCCATTTGGTACAAGATGAGTGTAGTTAAGTGCCTTATTAAATGTATCTACCGACAGAGAAAGCCAGATAAGGCATGCTACTAGACAGCTTAACAAACAACTTTTATAGTTGGCAAAGGGATAGATATAATCCAGAAGAAGGTCAAATTTATCTTTGATATCCTCATGAGGAATAAATTCTTCTCGAAACGTTATTTGGTAAATAATACTGTACTGTTTGTATGCTATATCAAATAAATAATCTAATATGGAATTGTTCTCTACTTTATTCTTAAAATTTTAACCTGCCTTTAATCTTATCTCACCTAGTTGATAGAAACAATATGCTTTCAAGATTATCTATCCTGTACCTTCGATCTTATCAAATAGTATTGTAACTCATCGTTTACATAAAGTGGAAGCTATAAGAATTCTAGCTGTTTATCTTTGCCTCTTTATCCAGAAGATGTTGGTAAATTCTTCATCTTTTTCCTTATTAGAAATGAAACCTAACAAACACCTTTAACAGTGGCTTTTTAGCTATCCCTTCCTTATTCTTCATCTTTTTCATATACTTACTATATTCGTTCAAACTTTGTTGATTTATTTACTCCATCCCTTAGTATTACGCAGCTTATATTTTTCTAAGCATTTGATACACTTTGATATTTTCGATGTCTACATTCTCATGATTCTTATCATCATCACCGTCATGCATATCACAACTGCTTTAGTCAACTTCTGTCACAATGATTATTGACGTTATTATTCTTATGTTTGTTACCATCTTTATTACTATTTGGGCATTTTAAAACACTTGTGAGTGACCAATAAATCTATAGGATTAGCTTAATTTCTATATATTTATTCATTTCGAAGGGTTACTATTATTTTTCCTTTGGGTTCCCAGTGGAACATATGGCTTCAGTAGCACGCCTCTATCGCACTCTGTTCTCTGAGGTATTTTAAACCTGGCACCACGACTGCTTACAAGCTTTCATTTGAAGGCTTATCCTTAGCTAACTGTATCAGAGAAAAACCCTAAGAAAGATTTAGTTGAAAACAGTATTGTTCATTTATATACCTTGTTCTGATTCACATGATGGGAACTTTTCGGAGCCTTAATTTTATAAATTTCTTCTAAGTTTAAAAGTTGAGAATTTACCTGCTCTAATAATCATTTTTTGTGGATCTAATTTGATAACTTCTATACATTAAGTGGAGACGTAGTCTACTGTACACAAGATCAAGAAGAGGAGCAGATGTAGGTCACCACCAATCACTAGTGCAATGAACCTACCCTCAAAATCAAGTTGAAAGCATACACAGGAGTTGGTGATAGACGACCACAGTTGAAGTTGAACACCCAGAACAGAAAGTGAACTGAATGACGAAACTATAAATGACATCTTCACGTCAGCCATCACAACAAAATGGAAGACACTGGGCAACATCTCTGAAGGGACCTGATAGATGAACACTGGAACTCTTGGGAACAGATGTGGAAAGAAACCTGCAAAACCGTGCTAAGAAGGAAGAAATAAGAAGACAACGAATGGATTTCGACGGACACATGGAAGCTGATAGAGGAGGGAGAGGAAGATGGTGTAGCAGAAGTTGAACCAGTGTAAGGATCCACAACGAAAAGACAAACTGAGTACAATGTGTAAAATACCACACTGGACAAAGAAGTGAAGAAGAGTGTATGCAAAGACAAAAGACACTTCTACGACACATTGGCAAGTGAAGCAGAACAGGCCACTGGTAGGAGAGACAGAGACTTGACAAAACTATATCAAATAACCAGCCAAGTTACTATCTGGTAGGAAGAGATCAACACAGATGAAACCAATAAAAGATGATGAAGGAAATATAAATACCAAAGAGCGGAAGGAAAGGAAATGATGGACTGACCACTTCAAACTACTCTTGAATCGACCACCACCAGCACGTGCAACTTGTCCAGAAATACCACCTGCAGCCCATTCACAGAACTACAAATGAACACAAATTCCCCAACAAAAGTGGAAGTCCTGAGGGTCATAAAGCTACTGAAATGCGGGAAAGCAGCAGGCAGTTGCTTCAACACTACGGAATACCACAAACTTTTATCAACCTGATTCAACAGCTATATGACGACGCCACATGCCAAGTGATTCACAGTGGAAAGCTCAGTTTATTGACGCCTTTGAAGTGAAGACAGGAAGGAGTAAGACAAGGCTGCCGCTTACTATCACCCATGATATTCCTGATTGTGGTTGACTGGAACATTCAACAACAGATGAGGATGTCAAAACCAGGATCAGAAAGACAGCAGGATAGGCTTTCACTATTCTGAAATGTGGAGATCTACTGCACTCAGCATAAAGTATGAACGACATCCAGATTTCTATCACTAATTCAGTCAATTAAGTCAGTGAGTGCTTCTGTGTGATGGTTCAGAAACTTGGCGTGTCACGAAAAGTACTTTCAACAAACTACAGACATTCATCAACAGTTGCCTACGCTGGCTCAATACTGAAGCTTAGATGGCCAGAATAATAAGAATAAACAACAAGGAACTCTAAAAACGAACCAACGAAGCAAGAACCTATCACCCAACAAATATTCAGAAGAGGAAAGTGGAGATGGATTGGACATACACTGAGAAGAACGATTGGGGACATCACGCGTCAGGCCAGGCCGTTGAGTGGAATTTAAATGGTAAACGAGGAGTTGTGCGTTCGAGGCGAGGGTGACATGGAGGAGATGGTATGATGAAGAAACGAAAGCTTGTAGGCAGTGGTGGACACTACAGAGAAGAGAGTGGAATAAAGGAGTGCTATTTAAGCCCTATGTTCCACAAGGGACCCAAGGGAAAAAATGATAATAATACACTAAGTGACAAAATGTCAGTGATATTTTACTGTTTTTGTTCATCACTTTTCTTTAAACCTTACATATAAATACAATTATAAAGATGGGTATTACTTTACTTTTCATACTATCTTATGATTTTAATATTTTGTTTTCAGCTTAATCATCCATTACTTGTAATTGGTGAAATAGGCTCTTGTAAAACGGCTACTATTGAAACAGCACTTAATTCACTTAATCGTGATAAATATAGTCAATTAATAGTGAATTTTTCATCTCATACTACTGGATATGATGTAATGCGTATAATCAGTTGTAATGTAGAAAAGCGTACAAAAGGAGTGTACGGTGCAATTCCAGGAAAGAAATTAATTGTATTTATTGATGATATGAACATGCCACAAGTAAGTAATTCGTCAACTGGTAATATTTGATGTATATTCAAGTTGATGTTTTCAAGAAATTGATTCTTTAATAGAACTTTTTATTACTTATTGGTATCATCTGAAAAGATTTTGAAAGCCAGAAGACAGTACACAACTGAATCTTTTTAATCTATAAGGAGAATGAATTTCTCATTGCTCTCAAAAGTGGAAGATTAGTGATATGCACTGATAAATATAAATAAAAAAGAACATGAACCCTTAGGTACTTGATGTCCTTTAATAACCCATCATCAGGAGATCATCGCACTATGTTTAGATTAAAAATGGGTGAAACGGACATGTGCGGTTAAAACATACATTCATCAGTTAGTAGGACTATATGGCATCATTGAGTGTCAGTAATATATCAGGATCTAGAAATGATGGTCGTTAAGTGTTAATGGAAATGGAAAATCAGTTGGATAGAATTTGTCATCATCTATTATTAAGTGATAAATGGTAGATAAGAAACAAAGGTATTTGCATCATGCAGGGTTTTTAGGAATCTGGTTCATTTAGGTAAAGATCATGTTCTCACAGATTAAAGATCAAGGAAAAGAAGACACAACTAATTCGATTATCGGAAGAAACCCATTTGATCATAGGAATAGAGAGAATAGAAATGTTTATTTTTGGCGAAATCAGTCTCTGCTATTATTATTATTTATTCCGTAGGTTCCTAGTGAAACATAGGGCTTCAGTAGCTGTATTGCCATTTCACTATCTTCTCTGAAGTCTTTTCAACCTGGTACCACGACTGCCCACAAGCTTTTATTTCTTCTTCACATCATATCCTCCATATCACCCTCACCTCTGACGCACAACTCGAATTTCCCCATTTGGATTCCACTCAACGGTCTGGGGCGTGATGTCCCCGAATGGTCTTCTCAGTGTATACGCAATCCAACCCATCTCCTCTTTCTTCTTCTGCAAATTTGTTGATTGAAAGGTTCTTGCTTCGTTGGTTCGTTCCCAGAGTTCCTTGTTGTTTATTCTTTCTGACTATCTGGTCTTAAGTATGGAATGAGCATTGGTGGCAGCTGTTGATGACGTATGCCTGTAGCTTTTTGGAAATGCTTTCTGTAACCCGCCAAGACTCTCATTCATCATATAGATGCACTCAATGACTTAATTGACTGAATCAGTGTTGGAAATCTGGATGTTGTTCACACTTTATGCTGAGTGGAGTGGTGTGAAATGCAATGCAGTGCAGTGCAGTAGATCTCCACACTGATTTCAGGTTGATGAAGGCCTATCTTACTGTCTTTCCGATTCTGCCTTTGACATCCTGATCTGTGCATGCGCTGCCTGTAGTTGAATCGATGCCATCTAGGTAGGAGAAACAGACTTCTTCCTTTAGGCTTCTTTTGTTGATGGTGATTGGTGCTTCTTCTTCTTGTTGGTTAAGTATTTTCATCACCTCTATCTGTCTTCTCTATGTTCACATGAAAGGAAGTCCCGTCTTCATTGCCTCGCCTCGCCTCGCCTCTTCTACCAACTTGTCAGTTTCCGCCTGTACATCTTTGAGTTTGTGTGACAAGACATTAGACATAATCGTCATCTTCGAAATCCAAATCTTCTTCTGGGGTCTTTTCATCGGTCAATCCAGCGTATACCAATCTTCTCATGGCTCACAGTTTCTTGCATGATCTAATCCAGTCCAGTTCAGTCGAGTTGGCCACAATCAGGAAGATGATGGGTGATAGTAGGTGGCAACCTTGTCTTACTCCCGTCTTCACTTTACGGGAATCACTGAACTGAGTTTTCCATTGTACAGTGAATCACATGGCACGTGGCCTCATCATATAGCATATGGCTGGTGTTGAATGATGTTGATAAATATTTGTGGCACTAAACCGTAGTGTTGAAGCAGCAGCTGTCATATTACTTCCCTGTTGACGCTGTCAAAGGCCCTTTCAAAACTGATGAATTTGAGGTACGGTAGAGAGTTGACTGACGTTCTATTCTCTGTTCTATGATGATATGTAGCTTTGCTTTGCAATTTGATTCGGAGATGATTACTTTTTTCTGAAGCCAGGCAGCTTGTTTCGGTTGTAGTTTAGAATCCCTCGCATCTTTTGGTCCCTTCAGGATGATCTGGCTTAATATATTGCTTGCTTTGGGTGGACGTAGCATTAGTCCGCTTCAGTTCTTGTAAATACTTAGGTCGCCCTTCTTTGGGGGTTTGACAAAGTAGCCCTTCTTCCAACCAACCGGCAGGTACCTTTCATTCCTTCCATCCATATCCACTGTTGTCTCTGTGTCTGTTTTCAGTGCTTCTTGAGGAATTCCATCTGGTCCTGTTGCTTTCCTGGATGTTGCTTAGTTTCTCCCTTTTTTCCTGATGACCAACCGACGTGAAGATGTCATTTGTAGTTTCGTCATTCAGTTCACTTTCTGTTCTGGGTGTTCAACTTCAGCTGTGATCTATCACCAACTTCTTTGAAGGCTTTCAACTTGATTTTGAGGGTAGGCTCATTGCACTAGATAGTGAGAGGTGTGAACCTACATCGGTTCTCATTTTTGATCTGATTTTGTGTCCAGTAGGCTGTGTCTCCACTTTCTTCACATTAAGATCAAGTCGATCTGATTTTTAGTATAGCGTGTCCTGATGTCTGGTGAAATCAAATCCATGTTACTTTGTGAATATTCTTATATTTGTACACACTGCTCCCAATCACCAAATCATTGAAGGTGCAGAAGTCTGAAAACAGTTCTCCATTCTCACTCATCATTTCACCGAGTGCCTCTTGACCCATGATGCCTTCTCTTCCTGTGTTGTCCGCTCCCACTTTGGCATTCATGTCACCCCACCCATTAGAATTTTGATGTCATCTGGGATGGAGTCTTGTCCATTACTGATTGCAGTTGTCTACAGAATTCCTATTTCTTCTTTTGATCTGCATTATTTGTAGGTGCATAGTGTAGCATTGAATGAATGTGTCTTTCCTTCTTTTTGAGCTAAACCTTGCTGTCATTATGCTGATTCTAGTGAAGGAGATCGGTTCCCACTGCATGAGAGCCTTTGATACTGTTGGAGACATCACG